CCCCCCCCCCCCCCAACACTTTTTTTAAAGAGATTGTTCCCTCTTCTAAACTGGCTTTCAGCAGTTCTAATCTACAAAATGAGTCACGGATTGGTACGGGCTCCAGTGATCATAACAAGACCAAAGATGGTGGCAGACATATGAAAACCAGTAAGGACAGGGAAATTATAGGAGGGAAGTAGTGATTTAGGACCTGTTTCTGTGGGAGGGGGGCTGGGTGAGCGGTTTGGGGCATGCTTGCAAAGAGGCAGTTGCATGATGAAGCCCAGAATTTGTGGATGATTTTAGTGTTGCTTTTATTTTAAATGTAAGTGGTGCGTTCGAGTTGCAGCCAAGAGGAACCAGATGTCTAATGGATGGAACAAACTTCCAGTGACACCCTTAGGAGTAACGCTTATGGAAAAGAAGCATGAGCTTGCAATGAGAGGCCAGTGGTTAGTGTGCGTGCGTGCATGTGCATCTTGTATAAGAGCGCGACTGTCTAGAGAACAGCACTCTTTAAGGCATCCAGAGCTGATAAGTTTGACGTGGGAGAGGAACCTGTGAATAGAAAGGGCTGTTTTCAATATATGGAAGAAGCTTTGGGTTGGCTGACTGTGTAAAACCAGGGAGTGTAAAAATGATGTAGCTGCAATGGTCCGGAAGTTGTGAGAAGCCAGAATTTCTGGGGTGGTTTCTGTTTCTTATGTGAGAAGCTATGTAGTGGTGATAAAGTTTAGATGAGCTTTTGAATGGGAGACATTCTTCCTCGGGTCATCAGGACAGAAGAGACTAGTATTACAGTAAGCTTAACACCTCACTTGAAATAGTGTACTCTGCAGTCACCTAAAGGTGTGAGTACTTGAAACACTGACTCCTAGAGGAGGAAAAAAAAAAGAGGGTATCTATTGGCAGATGTTGGCCGACTCCTAGACTTCCTGAGCTTTCCTACAACAGCACAACTTCGCTTTATGAAGCGCCATCTCTCAAGTGTACAATAGGGTAGCTCTTTTTTGGGGAGAAGGGGTGAGATTTGAAGAACCACAAAATTAAGAGCTTGAACAAAGTTGAGACTAATCAATGCAGGGAGGGTAACCAGGTGTTCAGTTTGCACATGGTTCTGTTAGCAAGACCTCCTGCAGTCACCAAGCATGTCACACGTAGGAGCAAATGTTGTGAAGGGAATATAGCTAGGCATTTGGAAGGCTGTTACTAGTAACAGCCTACTACAGACTTGAAGAGCTTTCTCTCTTTCAAAATGGTCACTCGTTGGCAAAACATCTTGAATCTGTTAAAACTGCTAGTAGGCGAGTGTTCCTGAGGTGTTCAATCTTAACTCCTTTTACCTTTTGGGGAGAAGGGCAATATCTGTGGATAATAAACTTGACAAATGTGTGAAACTAAGGCACTGACAACACGTTTCTGACTTTCGTAAAGGTAAAAATGATACTAAACATGGCTGCAGTTGCCTAGCTTGTGTGGTGGTTTGTGTGCCTAAGCTGAATGCAATTTAAGTTAAGCTTTAACTGTGTTTTATAAAACAAGAGGGCAAGTAACACCCAAAGTTGCTGCATTTTATTGTTCAATATAGAACAGAAGGAAAGCAGGATCAAGATACAAGTGTGAGTATTTGGGACTAGGGCCAGTGGGAAAATGGGTTAGGTGTGTATTTGTCTTGCATTTTCTTTTCTTTTTTCCTATTGGAGGTGGTGGTTTGTGGGGGTGGTGGTGGTGGAATATGTTGAATGTTTCTCCTGTATTGTTAACACATCTGTACAGTTTCCTTTTTCTGGCTGCCCTGTCACAGGACACAATCCTGTAACCAAATGCTAGAACAATGATTCTTTCTCTATTGCTGCCTCCCAGGGAAGTTACCAGGAAAATGGGAGAGTAAAGACTAGTACTTAAAGTAGCTTTCCTAGTGAGCCTGAAATTGGGCTGTGCTGAGGATAGAACGGAGAGAAGATGATTATTCCTTTGACCTCTAGACTTTGTCAAGAATTAGTTAACAAACTGATGTCAGTAACCTCAAATTTTTGAGGGCTGTGTGCATGGGAGGGAGGGTTAAAAGCAAGCATGCACATGTACCTCCTCTTGACTTAGTTTCACAGGGTTTATCTACACATTTCTACTGTGGAGTAGACTAGTTAGCTCTTCAATAAAGCATCACAGTCTATGTGTGTGCCAGTATTGGGACAGTAAACTAATTAAACTCTGCTGTAGGATAGTACCATCAGGGACAGTATTGTCCTAGGGTGGGGTACTTTACTGCACTGAAATGCCTGTGTAGACAGTGACTGGGGACATAAATTGCTCCCAGCTGGCTGGGGGTTTGCTCTACCCCAGCTCAAATTGCTGTAGATGCTACTGGGGGGTGGGGGGGGACTGCTCTGCCCCAGGATAGATGCTGTGCCTCAGAACAGTTTACTTCAGCCCAAACTGCTCCAGAGTTTGTTGTATTGCATTAATTGCATGTGTAGATGCACCTACTATCTCTCATTCTTTTTGGTTTTTTTTTTTTTTTTAATGAAAAGGAAATTCCAGCTAAAGTTGTGCGTGCCAACTCAGCTGCCTTCCAGCTACACAAACCAGTGTGAAATATGGCTCTCTCTTCAACTGTCTAGAGGTGCCTTGAGCCAGAGATGTCTCTACTATAATCATGAATGCCTGTGGGTTTGGAGAGGAGGTGACTTTTTAGTTCTTTTGGTAATAATTGACTTCTCCCACTTTTTGTGCTACTTTGACATCTTCCGAAACTTAAATTGCAGGGATTTTCTTTTATTTAAAAGGAGTGGGGCTTCCATCTGAAAAGCTGACTGATGTTTTTGTGGATGAGGTGCTTTTCTTTTAAGAATGGGGTTGGAGTGCATGACTAACTTTTACATAGGAAGATGTCATGCCTGCCGATATATTTTCAAGTTGCTAGTTTTCCTTTACTGGTACATTTTGACCTGCTACAGCAAAGTCCAACTTGTAGAAGGACTATGTGTGTGTGTGGTCTCTGCAGGGTGTTACAGATTTATGTCAAGAAGCAGCAGCTACTAGTGGGAGTCAAGCCCTGCAGGATCAGGTCTGATTTTTAACTGTTTTGTTAGAATTAACATCTCTACTCTGTTCTGCTGAAAGCATCTTGGTGACTTTGCTGTCAGACATCATGGTTGATGATAAACTTGGAAGACGCCGTGTAGGTTTCAACTTGAGTCTTGCTTTCCAGTGTCATTACAACAGCTAAAAAGGGTTCTGGGTGTGTGTGGTGTATAACATGGCATAGCAGCCTCTTCCTTTGTGGCACTATTCCATGTATTAGTGGCTCCAATGGTGTGATGCTGTATCAACTTCCTGCAGTTCCTTCTAATAAGGACAGCATTTCATATCCTGTTTTGAAAGAATTGATCACTTAACCCACAGTTGGCGTATTCATTATGAAAGTTGGTGACTCCTGGAAATCTGCGTTTTGTTTTTTGGCATGTAAAAAGTCAGTGAGTCTGAGCTCTTAACACTTCCAACAGCTCACTAATTATGCTTTTGCCTTCCAAAACAGGATTTGCAGTTCTCTGAATACTAGGGTTTGGGGCTAAACACTGCACGTGGTGGTACATTTGTTCTGGTCCTCTTGGCTAGGGTAAGTCTCTGCAGTTTTTTTCCCTCCCCCTGCAATGCCTTAAATATTTGGTTATGAAAATGGATGGTTCACTAGAGAAAAGTAGGATTCCTCTGCTTAATTACAAATGAATGTTTGTGTTCCCTTCAGAACCCAAAGGGTTAATGTGGGAGTTTGATCCTGACTTCTGTTTAATAGGCATCTTTTTCTTCGTGGTTGAAATATTAACTCTGCCAGTCCCATTTTCCCCATATTTGGGGAAAAGCTTATCTTTATCCTGGGTGTATGGTGTGTGTGTGTGTGGGGGGGGGAGCGGGGGAGAATGCCTTCAAACCAGCGCTGTCCAACTTCAGGGGACCATGGGCCACAAACCACAAGGGCAGCACTAGTGGTACTTCAGGTCCCTCCGCTGCATGTGGGTGCCCCTTACTCTGCTGCACTGCACACTCATGTGGGCCATAACTCTTCCAAATTGCATGGTGCCTCGCCTTGCTTTCAGCTCCTCTGTGGCACCGTGCTGCATGGGTGTTTCCTACTGGCAGCCCTCCTGGCACTGCAGGTTGAGCTGTGCCATGCTGGCCTGCACTGTGGGGTGGTGGAGGCATGGAGCAGAGATCGGGGGAACCCTGAGACCCCAGCTGCTGTTGCAGCTGGGGCAGTAGTGGCCCTGGTGGAAGCTTGGGGGGCTGCATCTTAGTTCATTTACCTGAATCCAAGATCTCTTTGAATTTAAGAGGATCACCCAATTCTTCGTTTCTGTATATGGAAAGCTTTATAAGTGGTGTTACTTTTCCATATGTAGAATCTAATTACAAGAGGGTCATTTTCTAAATTTTGTCCCTTATAACTACTGTGGTGGGGAAAGTAGTGGCAGGGGCCAGGCAGTCTTCCTTTTATTCTGCAACCGCTACACCCTGTTTCCCACCCCTTGCCCCCAGCTTTTGCTTACTCTATGCGGTGGGTCTGACTGCGGTTCCAGTCTGGGACGTGGAGCATGCTGTGGCTTCAGCCCAGCAAGATTGCAGCGCCAGATTCAGCTTTGGCTCCAAGTCAGGGCTGGAGCCTCAGCAGCTCCTCTGTCACAGCATGGTCTTCCCTAATTTCCCCCCAGCCCTGCATTGCTTGGTTTCCCCTGTATTGGGCTGAAACTGAGGTTGCAGCCACTGCCTGCCCTGGGCTGTGCTCAGATCCAAGGTTATTTTTTCTCCCATCTTGAATTGGGGAAGAAACCTTGTCTTGGATTTGAGCAAATAAAGTAACCCTTTGCCGGCTGCATGTGGCCTGTAGGCCACCAGTTAGTACAGAAAGTTCTGCAAGAACAGGGCTGTCCATTTGGAAGAAAGGCTAAACATGAACTTTTAGTAGGAAGGTGGGGAAGATGCATGCAAAGGGACTAGAATTCACAAGCATCTTGCACGTACCAGAGGTCAGAGGTGTAACTTAATGTTGGTGGCCTGGGCAGGGAAGTGAGCACTTGTCACCTCACACAGGGCCTGCTGCAGTTGTGGCAGTGCAAGCTGCTGTGGCAGTGTGAGCTCTGTAGTGGCTGCCATTCTGGTGCCCTCTCTGAATTGGTGCCTGGGGCTGGTGCCCTGCTTGACCTTCCCCCAAGTTGTGCTACTAAAGAAGGTTGCTGAGTTGCAGTGTAAGACCTCAAAGTAGTCCAGTCAAACTCCCAGTAAGAATAGTCTTGGCAAGGTGGATTCTCTGCCTCTTGCACCAGGGCTCGCACAAGCATAAAGTGGTAGGCCTGCTTCTGAAAGAGCACGGAGCTCATTCTTCTGACTCATCCTTAGGAGAGAAAAGGAAACTTGTATAAACTGAAAGATGACCTTTAAACTGTTAAAGAGAATACTCAGATTGCCTCGCTACGAGCACAAGTCAAGAAATACAAGTCAAGAAATACGGGAGTCAAAGTTGTGTCCACAATTTTAACTTTATTTCCACGTGTTTGTATTCATTGCAGTGAAGTAGGGGTGTAGGTTCCAGCTATTTCAACTGATCTGATAAAAGATGCTGGATTTACTCAAAGAACCTTGTCTGCCTGCAGGGAAGGAGGAGATTCCATAATTTAGGCTGTCTTGCTCAAGTGCTTTGCTATGCCCTGCAGTCCTATTTAAGATGTGTGTGGTATCTTGTAATCTTTCTTTCTTAACTGTCATAATGGTGCAGTTTACCTCTAATGACTTGTGGTTAAGTGTCTGTAAGAACTAGCTCTGTGAGCAACTTGCCTGCGTATGAATATTCCTGTCAAGCCAGTGTTTGGGTTTGTAGGTCCTGGTGCTTGGTCTCAATATGCTTAAGAGAACAAACCTGTGATGGCTATTTTAATATTATAGTATCTTTTTCCCAGCCTATAAAATGCTACTTTTCTCCCTGAAATAGTGAAGTTGCATATTTTTCCTTGGAGTCTCAGACCAGCAGAGACTCCCTATGCCTGACAAAGGGTGGCTGCGCCTGAAAGCTTGCTAAGAACTTTTCCCTCAACTACTCAGTTGGTCTAATAAAAGATGTCACATCTACTCAACAAACCTTGTCCTTAGACCAACACGGCTACAACCAAAAACACAGCATTTTTTTTTATGCCGAAGCCATAGCAAAATAATTGAAATCACTAAGATGATGATAGAAAGATGGTGGGAAAAGCTGACTTTTTTTTTTTTTTTTAAAGAGGTGACTTAAAAGGAAAATATGGTGACTGCTAAATAATAGCAATAGCGGCCTGTCAGTCCTTGGATATAACTGAAGGGCTGTGAATGCAGGTAACACATTTGACTTGCATGTTTTAGAGACAGTAGTAGCAGCAACTTAGTGATGAAGCTTGTCTGTGATTCACTTAAAGCACAAATAAAGGATGCATGTGCTGGACAGGAGGGGTTGACCATACAGACTGACTTCGTAGGTTCTGTGACACTAGTAGAGACCATCTAATAGCGCTGCTTCTCACAGCGCAGACTAGGGGTTCCCTCCCATGCATCCTGCCAGCTTATCTAGTGTCCATCTGCAGACTTCGAGCGTCACTCTAAAACAAACTTTAAATATCTGGGGGGAGCGGACGGGAACACACGTGACGGAACTGGATGTAATAACCTCGCATTGCAGTAACACCCTGGGCACTCTGCCAAGCCCAGGGCTCTGTTGTGGGTGGCACTGTATGGACACATGGACTCTGGCATTGTTGAGAGGAACGCGGCTTTTGTTAACCAGTGAGAGAGCCACCGTGCATCCTTATCATGCTGTAAAATCTTGTGGGAAGCAAAGTTTAAGCACCATATGGCTAAATAGGGACCACCGTAGGTGTAGAAATGGTGTTGATCTCTCCTGTCTATGCTGTGGTAAAAACTACCTCTACTTTAACTTGCTGTAAAATATTAATTCAGATAAGCAGTGTATACTGACTTACCTCTGGTAATGTAGTTCTGCAAACCAAACAAGCCAGCAGTGAAGACTTTGCAATAGGATTGTCATTCCTTCAAGAGTTTAGTCTAAATAGACTAGACGGTGGATATGGGGAAATGGAGGCACAGAGAGAAAGTCACTTATCTAAGACCCTCTGCCTGCAGCAGAGATGGGGGTGGTCTCTCTGTCTTCAAGTGTTCTGGGATTGCCTTCTCAGTGCTCTGGTCACCAGCACAGCACCACCTACCAGTCGGTGAAAGCTGACCTTTTTTCTTGTAGGGGTGGAGAGAGAAGGCATGAAAAAAATAATGCCATGAAATGTATCTGAACCATTTTTAGCTTAAACCCTTGTCTCTTTAGCCTCTGTGGTTTAGAGGGAGGTTCCTGTTTTCTTTCTAGGTGTGAGGGTTAGAAATAGTCTTATTCCTTCTCATGGAAAAGGTCCTGAAGAATCCATTTGGCAACAGGTAAAGTAAACAGTCAGACTTCTTTATTAATGCCAACCATGCTGAGGATAGATACGACTTGGAGAGAGTGCATGTTAGTTTTGGATTTGGCACCCCTGAACCTGAAATAGACTGTACCACAGACCTCACTGCAGGCTAGAATAGATTCTGCAGTCTAAATGGACAATCCCCAGGGAAAATTCCTCCAGCTGGCATTCAACATGCTTCAAGCTGCAAGGCTCTGCCAGCTTCATGGGAGATGCCTTGAGAGCCAGGTAAAAGAAGCTGGAATAGCTGATTTAGAGCTTTCTCTCTCTCTCTAGGCCTGCACATCGCTCTACATAGTAATGGTATCATTTGACAGGTGTGGCAAACCTCCCTCCTCACCAGATCTGGATCCTGGGTCTCCATTTCTGCATACACTAAAACACCATACAGCCCACTACTATACAACCCTACACCTGTGTATTCCATATGCATGTTAATAGTACCATGGAAGAATCAAATTGGAATGAAATAGTTGCTTGAACAGTTCAGACATGGTGTGTCAACATAGCAAAAATTGCATATGCCCCAAATATTGGGAAGTATTCATTTAAAAAAGAAAATAAAAGCAACAATATCCTGAGGCTGGAAGCTTCAGAAGCTTCATCTTTTAGTTTTAGTTACAAAAAGATAAAACATGACTTGACTGTTGCGTTGAGGGAAGGAATGTTGATGATTACTCCATGCTGTGACTGTACAGCATTATACAGTGTAATAGCTGGAAGTTGGATCTAAACAAATGAGGAGGGGGGAGTGCCACATTTGCACTAAACAGTGAGGAGTAGTCTAATTATGGAACGACTTTCCAAGGCTTGTAATAGATTTTCTGTGCCTTGTGATCCTTGAAACAACAGGCTGTCTTTTTGGTGTGGAAGTTCAGGGCCTGGATGCAGAAATTTACCAGGTGAAGTTGTATGGCTTCTGTCTATGTGGGAGGCCAGGCTAGATGATCCCAAGGGACCCTTTTGGCCTCAGTCTCTTTGTTCCAGCTCCTAAATTGAAGACAAGAGCTAGTGTTCCTTTTCTTAGCTCTCTCTGTGTGTGAGACAGTTACTTAAAAGTGTGCTCTATCCTTCTCTCCAAGATGGAAAAAACCCTATAACTAGTATGTGCCTATATTAAAAATATGCC